GGCCAAGTGGGGCCAGGAGGGGTGAGGGGCAGCCCTAGGGCCCTCTATATTTAGCCCCATTTTCGGTAAGTGCTAACGAGAAGCTGACCCAAGTCTGCTAAAACTGGCTGGGGGAAATGCAGAGGAGAAGTGAAAGTCGGGTGGGAGGGGCAAGGGAGGGTGAGGAGTGGAGGGCAGCCAGAGTTCTAGGCCTGGGGCCATCGCCTGGGGCGAGGCCAGGGGGTGTGGGCACCCTGGGTGGGTCTGACTCAGGATGGTGGGAATCAGGGGCCCATAGGGTCTGTACTGCGTTTCCCTTTTGGCTAAAAAGTTACACACCGCCTGGGAGGGGAGAAGGGCAGGATGGCCATAAGTAACCAGCCGAACTTTCTGTGCAAATGCGGCTTTGAGTCGGGCGTCAGAAGTTTCCAGGGGTGGGAGCACATGAGAATCACAGGGAAGGGGCCTTTTAAAAATCTGATACTGCCCAGCCGGTGTGACTCAGCATCGACCTATGAACCAGGAGGTTACGGTTCGATTCCTGGTCAGGGCACATCCCTGGGGGTGTGGGCTCCATCCCCAGTAGGGGACATGCAGGAGGCAGCCGACCAATGATTCCCTCTCATCATTGATGTTTCTATCTCTCTCTCCCTCTCCCTTCCTCTCTGAAATCAATAAAAATATATTTAAAAAAACCTGATACTCAGGTTGCACCCTGTCCCAGTGAAATCTTGTCTGGTGTGAGAATAGCATTAGTATTTTTGTAGCCAAGAGAGAGGGGTGGGGGCAGCCCTGCCTGGGCCCAGGTGCCGAATGCCTGCGGGCTGGGCAGCTCAGTGGCCTCTTGATGGGCTTGTCGGTGCCCTCCGGTCTCCATTAGGTCCTGGTTTGGCTTTGGGTTCCTGGTTGAAATGGAGCCCCTATTCATCCTTGGAGGAAACGAGCCAGCGAGGCCTGGGTGAAGGGCAGCACTGGCCATTTTGCCATTGGCCCAGCCTACGTGCCGTGGTGTGTGTGTGTGGTGGGGCCAGAGGGGGGGTGTTAGGGAGAACGAAGGAATCAGAGCGGTGGAAATGTCCCCTCAAACCGCTTTTGCCCCTTCAGCCACTATCCCTGCAGAGGGGGTGACCTAAAGGTGTAGGTTAGAGCTGCTTGGTCCAGGTGTCAGGTGACAGCAGGGACACAAGGGCCTTGTTTGGACAGGATTGGGTCCTGGTCCCTCCGAGAATCTTTCATGTATGTCTTCATTCCAAAGACACGGTCCCAGCCTGAGCAGCGATGGCTGCAGCCTGGGGCCACAGTCTGGGGCTAAGAGTCACTGCCCAGGTGGTCAGGGTATGTTAGGGGCAGGGGCATCCCAGATGAGAGGGACACTAAACACCTGGGGATTCAGGGAGGACCTCACAGAGGAGGTGACATGTGAGCTGGGGCCTTAAGGAGCAGGAGTTTGCTGCTAGAGAAGGAAAGGGTCGCCCCGGGTGGGAGAAGAGCAGAGGCAAAGGCCTGGAGGAGGGAAATCAGGGCTTGGGGCCACTCTTGTTTATTGGACCCACGTATCCTATGCTGGGCGGTGTCAGGCACCCCAAGATAAGACAGACCTGTCCCCCCCCAAAATTAATCATTTGGGGTGACGCCTGAATCCTCACTGCTAATGTGAGATGAATTTTTGAGCGGGTAAAGGTTACCCCTAAGGTGACAAGCCTACTTTGTGGGATGCCTGGGTGTTGTGATCTGCCTGGGGAAAAAAAAAGACAGAACTGTCCTTGAGGGGGTCCTAGTCTGATGGGGGAGACATACTGCGGCCCAAGTGGCTACAGCCTCTAGGACAGTGAGAAAGAGATGCTGGGTCAGGACGGAGGGAGCAGGGGGGAGCTATCTGGGGGCATCGGGAGTGGTGACTTCATAGAGGATGGAACTTGTGCTGGGTCCTGAGGGATGAGTAGGAGGTCGCCAGGTAGACAGTGTTCCAGGCAGAGGGACCAGCTCATGACAAGGTCTCAGGAAATTTCGTTAAATGGCAGAGACAGGAGGACAGAGGCAGGGACAAGTAAGAGACAGAGCTGCAGGGAGGGACATCAGCAAGCATTTATAATCTGTTTTTCTCGGTGGGTGATGCCAGTGATGAGTCAGACCTAACTCTGCATCCTGGTCTGGCGGGAAAGGACTGGGACAATGGGAAGGCACAGCCTGGGAGGCGGTATTAGTTTGCTGGGGCTGCTGTAACACATAGCACAACTGGGTGGCTTAAACAACAGAAATTAATTTTCTCAAAATTCTAGATGCTACTAGGCCGGTGTGGCTCAGTGGTTGAGCATTGACCCATGAACCAGGAGGTCACGGTTTGATTCTCCGTCAGGGGTTGTGGGCTCCATCCCCAGTGTGGGGTGTACAAGGAGGCAGCCTATCAGTGATTCTCATCATTGATGTTCCTATCCCTCTCTCCCTCTCCCTTCCTCTCTCTGAAATCAATAAAAACATATATTTTTAAAAAAATTCTGGAAGCTAGAAGTCCAAGGTCAAGATGTCAGCAAGGCTGGTTTCTTCTGGGCCTCTCTCCTTGGCGGGGATGGTCTTCTTTTCCCGGTGTCTTCACTTTGTGTGTGTCTGTGTTCCAGTCTCCTCTTCTCCTAAGGACGCCGGTCAGTCATATTGGGTCAGGGCCCACCTGACCCAATGACCTTCCATCAGCTTAATTACATCTTTAAAGACCCTGTCTCCACATAGTCACATTCTGTGGTTCTGGGGGTTAGGGCTTCAACATATGAATGTTGGGGGACACAACGTAGCCCGTAGCAGAGGCCAAGGGTGAGCACAGACTCTCTGGGGTGGAGGTGAGGTCAGAGGCTGCCCTGGGCTGTGGCAGGAGAGGCATCCACCAGCCAGGCGGGGAACAGAGAACCTGCAAGGTCTGGACTCCCCGTGAAGCAGAAGCCCAAGCAGAAGGAGTGCCTAGTGTGGTGGAAGAGCGTGATGCATGAGTGGTTAGAGATGGCAGTGGAGGGGGGCAGGGGCCACACCCCAATGCCAGGCCAAGGAGCCTGGGCTCTTGGGGGAGATGGGGAGCCAGGGGGGTTCAGCGCCAGGAAGTGCTGGATGTGGGAAGGATCTCCCTGGGGCACTGTGGACACTGGCTGGAGGGAGGGCACAGGGCTGGGCAGAGGTGTCAGGGATGCTAGGAGGGGTGGAATTTAGGGCTGCCTGAGGATTAGCTGTTGCCTGGAGCAGGACCGAGGGCTGAGAAGCAGGGCCTCACCACAGCTCCTTTGTGCCCTCCTATGTCTCAGGATGTTGGCCACTCGGTGCCCTATCCCCAGTGCCCAGGGCCCGAGCTCCCATACCGTCCTGGGCACCCGCTGCCCACCCCACCCTCACCAGCCTACGCCTTAATAGGACTATGTGCTGGTTTCTTCTTCTTTTTATTATTTTTTTTGAAATGTTTTCTTTTTTTGTGAAAACATAACATACTCATAGGAAAGTGCCCAGGTTTTAAGGGTTCAGCCTGAAGAACTTCCACGTGTGCACAAACTCACGTCAGCTCCCACAGGTCACGACGCAAACCCTTTCCAGCCCCTTCAGCCTTCCTCATGCCCTTTCCCAGCCGCGCCCCCCAAAGGTACCCACCCGTCTGACCTTGGTCATCTGATATCATCTCGCCCCTTTCTGAGCTTCGGGTAATTGGAGTCCTACTGTCCGCTTTTGTGTCCGGCGTCCTCCCCTCGGCATCAGGTCTGTGAGATCCGGTGGTCTGAGATGCAGGAGTGTGTGCTTTCCCTGCTGTGGTGTATTTCCTGTGTGGACAGACCGCAATTTGTTGACCCATTCCCCTGTTGACAGGCCCTGGAGCAGTGGTTCTCAACCTTGGCTGCACATTAGAATCACCTGGGAATCTTTTTAAAATCCTGATTTCTGGGCCTCATCTGCATCAGGATTTTAAAAAGATTCCCAGGTGATTCTAATATGCAGCCAAGGTTGAGAACCACTGCCCTGGAGTTATTTCCTGTTCAGGGCCTTTCCTGAAGGGCTGCTGGGAACACATGCACCTGTGGCATTAGTGGCTGGGAGGCCGGGAGTGGACGTGTGGAGTTGTAGGAGGGGCCACCTCTTAGCTGCCCTGACTTGTGCTCATATTGGTTTACACTCCCACCAACAGTGTGTGACCTGGCTTTTTAATCAGGAATATTACACCCGAGTGACGTTTTGTGTCGAGTAATCTTCAGTTGCAGAATTCCTGGACTTCTTCTCAGTTGCTGAGGATGCCCCTGCTCTCTCTTCAGCCGGCCTTCTTGAAATATCGGTGCCAAGCACACTAGAGTTGGACAGCTCCTTTGATGGGGAGGGATCACGGTATAGGTGGGTTTTGGAGTGACTGGGAGACACATTTGGGTCTGAGTCAGGGTCATGAGTACGGTCTGAGGCCAATTTGGGAATCGAGTCCAAATGAAGATCTTGGACTCTTTGGATGGGAGTTGGGGTCCAGGGTGGGTAAGGGGATTGAGAACGGGTTAGGCAGAAGCCCAGATTTGGGGGGGATTAGGGGGGGTCTAGAACCAGGAAGGATTGGTCTGGAGTCAGTGTCAGGGTGAGATTGGGTGGGGTGACTGTTGGAGGTGAGGTGGGTGGAAGTCAGGGCTGGGGTTCATTAGCCTGCAGCAGCCCTGATTAAAAGCAGGAACCCTGCCCGGCTGGCGTGACTCAGTGGTTGAGCATCGACCCATGAAGCAAGTCATGGTTCAATTTCTGGTCGGGGCACATGCCCCCCCGGTCAAAGGCTCGATTCCCAGTGTGGGGCTGCAGGAGGCAGCCTATCAATGATTCTCTCTCATCATTGATGTTTCTGTCACCTCTCCCTCTCCCTTCCTCTCTGAAATCAATAAAAAGATATTTTTTAAAAGCAGGAACCCTGGAGCCACGGAGGCTGGGGCCCAATCTCTACTGTCTCACTGCTTTTGGGGAGGTGACACCCCCTCAGAGCCCCCTTCCCTTCCCTGTGAGAGCGGGGTGGTGTTAGCACCAACCACTAGCGTGAGTTTGGAGGCGCACTCAGCCCGTGCTTGGCACTGGTAAGCACTCGGCTTCCATGGCAGCATCAGAGCGCTAGGACAGGGCACCGTCCCCATTGCATTGTGTCCCCTGGTGCCACCTCCCCTGGATACTTCCCTTCATTTCCGGGGTCTACAGAACTATAGAAAAGGATTGCATTTTAGGGGCCAGGTATCTTGCTGGGATTTGGGGGTTCAGTTGGAATTCAAGACTGAAAGCCCAGGTGAGGTCTAGGATTAGGTTTGAGGACAAGGTCCGGGGCAGAGCCGGAAGGAGCTGGAGCTGGAGTTACTGAGATCAGAGTGGGGCTGCCCCTCTGGTGCGCCTGTGCACGAATACAAGAGGGGAGGCGGCGGCGGGGGGAGGGGGTAAGGTGCTGAGGGAAAGTGGTGGGCCGGGGGAGGCCGGTGCTGAATGGAATGGAATGGGGGGGGTGATGTGCGGAGGGAAAGTGGTGGGCTGGGGGAGGCCTGCGCTGAATGGAATGGGGGGGGGGTGATGTGCGGAGGGAAAGTGGTGGGCTGGGGGAGCCCGCGGCTGAATCACACCGGGCATCTTAAGACGTGCTCCTTTGGGGATGCTGCTGTCCTGTCACATCCTCCAGGCCCCGCTCAGAGTGGAAAACACGCCTCAGCTGAAACCTGGTGAGGCAGGACGGCCCTGGTGCCTGGGCGGCGCCTGAGCAGAGGCCGCGGCTGAGCCTCTCCTTTGGAACCTCAGCAACCTCCTCCCGGGCAGCCGGGCAGCCAGGCTTCTCCGGACCCCTGACCACTGTCTACATCCTGCCCTGTCCCTGCAGCCTGCCGGGGCCACCCTCCCTGTGCACCTTCCAAGGGTGGAAAGGATCAGGCAGGAGCCTCAAGGCCTGAAGGCCCCTCGCTTGTCCTCCCAGCGAAGGGCAGAGGCCCCGAACGAAGGGCATGTCTCCCAGAAAGAACACTTGCCAGGTGGCAGGGGGTGAGGGGGTTGGGGAGAGGCCGCGGTGGGGCTGGAGGAAGGGCCGGGAGCTTGCCCTTCCTCACCCACTTCCATCCTCTTCTGTCCCCAGAAATAAGAATGTCTAAGCCCCTGGAGGCCGAGAAGCAAGGTCTGGACTCCCCGTCAGAGCACACAGGTGTGTGGGAAGCAGAGGGTGGGCAGCGCGGGTGGTGGGAGCTTCCGGGCAGTGGGTGACACCTCCCCCTCCCCCTCTCATTGCAGACACTGAAAGAAATGGACCCGACACTAACCACCAGGTCAGGGGGCGTGGATGAGCCGGGGGTGGGGAGGGGAGAAGGGAGCAGAGGGGGCTGTGCGGCGGGGTGGGGGTGGGGGGGAACAGGTGTCAGAAGCTGATTCATCTCACTGGTCCCATCCTCACCCCAACTTTCTCTTCACAGAACCCCCAGAATAAGACCTCCCCGTTCTCCGTGTCCCCAACTGGCCCTGGCACCAAGGTAAGCACCTGTCAGAGCAGCCAGGGGAAGGGGAGGGGGGTGCTCGGTGATGGGTGGCAGTTGCTTTTGGAAGTGTCCCACAGGCCTGTCATGGGCCCAGGGCCGAAGGGGGCAGCTAGCCCTGGTACCTTGGTGACAAAGCTCCTCCCACCCCTTCTCACCCTCGGGCTCCCGCCCCAGGCCTGTGACTCACCCGGGCTCCTTCCCCTTCCCTGGGGGGTGGGGGTGGCCAGGGAAATCCCCCCCAGAGCCCCAGGGCGAT